ACAATTCTCACACCCTCCTAGTGATAAACTGAAAACATTGCTGAAAACTGCAGGATTTAAGAGACCAGAATACATGAAAGCAATTGATGAGGTATCCAGCAGTTGTAAAATATGTCTGATGTACAAGAAACCCAAGTCAAGACCAGTGGTGGGTCTCCCAAGAGGAAAGGTGTTCAACGAATGTGTTGCAATAGACCTTAAGAATGTTCCTGGCACTCCTAATGTGTATATCTTGCATATGATTGATTCGGTGACAAGATATTCAGCAGCTAGAATAATCTACAATAAGAAGAAAGAGACAATCATCCAAGGAATTTGCTCTGGATGGATATCCATCTTTGGAAATCCAAAGAAATTCATGGCTGATAATGGTGGAGAGTTCGCCAATGAGGAGTTTACTGAGATGTGTCAAAGATTCAATGTGGATGTGCAAAATTCAGCTGCCGAGAGCCCTTGGAGCAATGGGATTGTAGAATGTCATCATAAGATGCTGACAGAGATGATGGTAAAAACGAAGGAAGATTCAAAATGCAACTGGGAAGTTGCATTGTGTTGGGCACTAAGTGCGAAAAACTCCATGCAGATGTTTGGTGGGTTTTCTGCAAATCAGTTGACAATGGGCCGTAACCCTTCACTTCCGAATGTCATCAATGATAGACTGCCAGCTTTAGAAGAAACAACGGTGAGTAAAACTGTGGCTGATAATGTTAATGCAATGCACAGTGCAAGGCAAGCATTTGCAAAGTGTGAAAGTAGCAACAAGATACGTAGAGCTCTGCAAAGCCAAGTTCGGACAAGCAATGATGAGTATTATAGCAACGGTGAAAAGGTGATGTACAAGAGAAAAGGATCTGCAAAATGGAGTGGGCCAGGTGTTATACTGGGGAGAGACATTACTCATTTATATATTTTAAAGCATGGAAATCAGTATTATAAGTGCAGTGCATGTCATCTAACCAGGGATACAACAACAGGATATCCCATTACCTCAGAGTCAGTTGTTGGGCAACCTAACCCGAGTATTGTATCAAGTTCACCAAAATCCCCATTAGAGACGCAGAGAAATTTCCTAGAGGATCAACCATCTTGCTCTATGGAAACAGCAGTTTCTGTACCGGAAACAGAAACACTGCCTCAAAGTGAGACAACAGCAACAATCAGACCTCAGCACAAATCAGGACTTCCTAAAGCAAGAAGTCACGTGGAGTTTCTACCAAAGTATCCAGAGGAGGATGGTGAGATCTGGCATAAAGCTTATATCCATAGCCGTGCGGGAAAATCAACTGGCAGTTACAAAAACTGTGTAAATATTCTACTTGATGGTGAGGAGAGCATCCAATGTGTGGATTGGTATGAGCTTGCTGTGAATTGGAGAGATGACCTGTCACCAGAAACAGAAGAAGAGGTGTTGCTGTCCAGTGTGAGTATGTATGACCAAGCAGTTGTAGATGCCAAGCTAGCAGAGCTTGAGAAGTTCAAAGTAAACAAGGTTTACGTGGAAGTTGATGCAAACGAACAGTCCAATGTTGGTGTTCGTTGGGTAATTACAAAGAAAGCAGAAGGTTCTGTTAAAGCTCGTTTAGTGGCACTTGGTTATCAAGAAAATTGTAGCAACATACGAAAGGACTCCCCAACATGTAACAGGGACTCTATAAGACTGCTCCTTACAATAGTTGCAACAGAAAGTTGGAAGTTGCAACACATCGATGTTCAGGCTGCCTTCTTGCAAGGCAAGAAGATTTCAAGAGATGTCTTCATTATTCCTCCGAAGGAAGCTGAAACGAGGAAAATCTGGAAACTGAACAAATGTATTTACGGGTTAGTAGACGGACCTAGAATGTGGTATGTTGAGCTTCGTGATACTCTAGTGAAGTTAAATGTTGTGGTATCGTCATATGATGAGTCATTCATGTTCTGGTATGATGAAGGAAAACTCGAGGGTATCATTGCTGTGCATGTTGACGATCTGATGTTCAGTGGAAGCAAGAAGTTTGAAAGGGAAGTTATTGGGGAACTGAAGAAGAAGTTTCGTCTAAGTACGGAGGTCGAAGTTAAATTTGCTTATACTGGTCTTGATGTAAAGCAAACACAATCTGGAATTCTGGTATCACAACTGGGGTATGCAGACCAGATTTCAAGAATAGAGATCGACCCCACCCGAGTGAATCGAATTACGCTCCCAATCAACGAGAAAGAAAAGCAACAACTGAGAACTCTGTGCGGACAGTTGTTGTGGGTATCAACACAGACACGGCCAGATGTAGCTTATGCTACATGTTTTGCTAGTAATTCTGTGACTGAAGGGACCATCGCAGATTTGAAAATGGTAAACAAAACAGTAAGGTTCTTAGAAAAGAATCCTCTAACACTCAGGTTTAAGAAACTACTGTTGCCTGAGTCAGTCTTAGTGGTTTTCTGTGATGCATCGTATGGAAACTTGAAGGATGGTAGCTCTCAGGGAGGCTTCATAATTTTCCTTGTTTCACTTACAGGAAAATCTTGCCCCATTACATGGCAGAGTAGAAAAATCCGGAGAGTATGTAAAAGTACTTTAGCAGCGGAGAGTTGGGCAATGATCGAAGCAGTGGAAACATGTGAGTTGATCCAAGCTCAGCTGAGTGAGATCATGTTATCTGGAAAACTTGATGTCATTGTAATGACTGATTGCAAGTCTCTACATGATGCTATCCAAACCTCGAAAAATGTTGATGACAAGGGATTGAGGATACCAATAGCTTGCCTGAGACAGCGAGTGAACAATAGTGAAATGACAGTTCGTTGGATTTCAACAAAGAAACAGCTTGCAGATTGTTTGACTAAAGCTGGAGCTCCAACTTCACTGCTACGGGAGGTATTGTCGTCAGGAGAATTTGACAATGAACTGTTTAGAATTGTATTCCAATAATAAACATTGTATTCAAAGTTTTTAATATTGTGTGTGAAGGATTTTAATAATCTTAATAATTTGAAACTTAAAGAAGTTAAAAAAGTGAATATATTGGTATTTGTGATTTATATAATGTGCTCGTTTAAAAGAGTGAATATATTGGTATTTGTGATTTATATAATGTGCTCGTTTAAAACGATTTTCTATTACATGTTGTGCATGTATCCACAAAGAGGGAAGTTATATTTAGAAAGATTATAGTCTTTCTTGTGACACCTTTATTTTATATTTAATATTTTAAATCTTTCAAAGCCTTTTTAAGAAAGAACGGGAGATTGTGAATTGCTATATATTTGGTTTATATATTTATGATAGTCGATATGATATATACTAATTGTGTTCTATTTCAGAATGTACCACAAACATGTTGTCTGTGGGGTTTGATAATTACTTGTAACAACTGGTGTGTTTCATTGCATAGTGATCCATTTAAAGTTAACAAGTGCGACAGAATATATACTAAGGCCTGCCAACAACTTGGTATGGTCAGAAGAAATGGCCATATTGTCATTGATCAGAAACGTCGCCGGGCGCTTTACCTCTTCCTGGTTTGTAGCCAATTCGAAAATTGTTCCATAATCTGGCGCCCTTGTAATAAATCACTTAGTGATAAATTAGAAAGACTCCAAAAGAGAGCTATTAAATGGATTCTTTCTGAAGAGGGCCGCAGTTATCCACCTGAGCAATATGTCAAAAAGTGCAAGCTTGTCGACATTCTCCCTTTGTCTCAAAAGTTTGACTTGAATGATCTTATTTTTTCCACAAAGTTCTGAACAATTTAATTCCTGTATCTCTTTATATCAGGGCACTTCTCAACCAAGACGTTGCCACCTCGACAGTCTGTCTATTGTGTCATCAATTTTACCTAAGTTAAGTCAGAATTCACACACCATATGTACCTCAAATAGCCCACTGGCAAAATCATTTTTTCTACAGAACCCATATACTGGTATACTGTGGAATGGACTCCCTTTACAGGTAATACAGATTGTGTCTACTAGTCTTTTCAAAGCTGAGGTCACTAAGCACCTATGGAAATGTTTATTGGATAGTGAAACAACAGTCTAGCCTAGTCTCTTTGCTCCCCATATTATTATTATTGTTGTTTTATTAATTTTTTTATCTACCTTCCTATACTTTCAACATCATATCACACTTCACCCGCACACCTTCTCACACATTAATGACCATATCAGACCTGTATCTAATATATCTGGAATTTGACGTATTGAAATACCAATTTTGACTCTATATTCACAGTTATTCACCATGGATTTGTTTGTTATTAAATATTTTTTTCATAAATTTTTGGATTTAGATTAATTCGATGTAATGGGTCCAAGTTACTGCGGACATAGTTCACTATGTGTTTACCGTGTTTGGGTGCCCATCATATTTTACAGATGGGGGCGATATTTTGAACAATTCTATTTTATATTCATCTATTGCTGTAAAATAAATGTTGTATTTATTATTATTATTATTAAAATTTGAAAAGTATTTAATTTAAAAAAAAACATGATCTACTCCATTATAGGGGCAGGGATGAGGTTGTATGAGACTTCTGATAGCCGAAACTCACGTTTGGTGTCCACCTTCTTTCCTCAGTACCCTTGTAGAGCAATAAGAGTTGTTCTCAACATTGCAAATCTTATCCTTGTTCTTACATGTCTTACTTCATCACAGTACCTCTCCTTCCTTTTTCTTGCAAACTGCTTACACTCTTTAGACATTCCTCCAGATGTGATTTATATTTAAAGTCACTAATTATACTATTGATAATAGTTAATAGTTATATAAATAGTACTATGTTTACAGTATGCACTGAAGGGGTATCCTAGGAAGTTTTTTGAACTTTTAACAGGTACCCCTCCTCATTTAACCCTCAATTAAGTTTCCTATCATTCGGTTGAGTCGACCGAAGAGATCGCATAGATCATAGAAGGCGTGGCGGATGCTTTAACCACAAACATGGCTATAAAAATGCTTTTTATTATTGAATCCTCTTATTGAATCCTCGTGTTATATTGAGTTTAATTTAGTTGCATTTAAAAGGGTTGCATTTAGTCTTTACTGATACTAATGTTGCATCGGGCTGGCCACACTGCCCGTTCCCTCCTGTCAACTGTAACATCTGCTGCACTCTCAACAGACTACCCTACTCTTCATCAACACAGTATCGAGTCCAGGTACTTTTGTCCACCAATTAATTAACTTTATTATAATTGTATTGTCATATAAACCTGTCAAGAATCATCTTGTCGTGATGGATTTAACTCCTCTTATGAACCTGCTTGTTAAAAAACCTGTAGAAAAATGCACATAAATAAGAAAAAGGGCCAGGTATTGTATATATTATATTCGCCAGAAACATCAACCCATCTCTCTGACAAGTTTATTCCAAACAAGTTCCAGAACATGTAGCCAAACTATGCGGGTCCCCCGACACAAACTTGACATTTCTAAACACAATTTTGTCGTCAAAGGTACGACTATATAATGGAACAGTTTGGTTGATAAAATATTCGACAAATGCACTCCTAATGAAAACAATGTCATGGTCCCTGGCTCTAGTAAATTTTCCGACCTTTCCTCCCCCATTTCAATTATCAAGAGCCGTATCAAAAAGCTTTTGCTTGAAACCCAGCAATTGACAACGTGAAATTGAGTGGCTTCCCCTAAATAGCTGGGGCATTGAACCAGCTTAGTTGATCCCATCCCTTGCATACAATTAATTACAAAAGCGCTAATTATACCTGTTTCAAAAGCATCCTGTCTGGAAGTTCCCTGACTGCCGTGTGAATCTTTGGATCTATTTTTGGATCTATTTTTATATTTATATGATTTTTATATACCTATATATTCATCGCATAATTTCCATGTCCGCCTGAACAAAGCTGGCACCATCAAATCTTACCTCTAGAAACCCCAGAACTCATCAAGCCTAGTCTGAACTCAAAACTAGTTGACCAGCTACGTACAGTTTCCTGGACAACTGGAACCTTTTGGGCCATGCACAAGCCAATAGCATGTATGGTCCTGCAGTGGGGTCTCCTTGTCCTTGGATCTGTGTTTTGATCCGTCTTTTCTTAAAATTTTCCATTTGTGTCACTTAGACTCACCTATTAAATGTTAATCGACACCACTGGTCCTAGTTAGATTTAGCCATGGCACAACTACTCAAACGTAACAGTTAAATAGGTGTGACATACTATTATATTCTTATAATTATATCATATATGAATTGATTGCACTGCTAATAAATAAAATACTTTGTTTTACTAAATACTGTGTTTTACTAACAGTCTTCAACCTGTCATTTAAATCTAGTGTTTTTAAAGTTTATGATCTGTAGAGTTTGTTCAACATCATTTTAAAAGTGACTCAGTTTATTGGAGTTATGATTTGTTTCTTTTGTGCTCGGACTGCAGTATAAATTTGGTACATGTTTACTGTTTTTTGGCTTCCTTTAAATGCAAAATGTTTCAGTGATGAGTTTTGGAACCAAATAGCAACAGAAAGGATACACTGGAGAGAGCCGTACCAGACAATCTCGGACTGCAATTTCAAAGCAGGAAAAGTGAACTGGTTTACAGGCGGTAAACTCAATGTGTCAGGTAATATAAAGAATTTTTAAATATTAAAGCAATACAACCATAGTTTATATTATGACAAAAGCTCATATTTATGACTAGGGGATCAGCAACCATCCCCATTCTCCACTCAAACTCATGATGAAAAACATTCAGAAAACCTGTTGGACAGACATCTAGTGGAACACAGTGACAAGGCAGCTATACTATGGGAGCGCGACGAGCCAGGGCAACATGAGATAGTCACATACAAGTAAGTTATAACTTCAATTGGTAACGTACAATTAAGTTATAAATTCAATTGGTAACGTACAAGTAAGTCAGAGTTATAAAAGACAGAACTTCTCTTTACCATGTTTCATGTGGGAAACGAAAAGTGAACAGAACAGATAAAACCAGGTATAGAGCGGTTCACATGATACCAATCCCAGTATCTAATCCCACCCACATTATTAGAATTTGAAACTACGCAATTCCTCAGAGCACTCCATGAGATGACATGCCGTATTGCGAATGTGCTAAATTCTCACGGGGTTTCAAAAGGAGATAGAGTGGGTGTTTACCTCCCTATGTGCCCTACTGCTGCTGCTGTCATGTTAGCTTGTGCTAGAATAGGTAATGTTACGATGATTTGTTTAGTTACACTGAAACATATTGAAAGGATGTTAGGAGTTATTCAAAGTATTTTTTGAAAGTTTCTTTTCATTCTATCCATTGAATTATCATCTTTTCAGCAATGTTTGAACAGTGCTTTGCTGCAGCTGTCCTTACTGTCCTATTACAGTCAGCTCCTTTATGTTTTTTATTGAAATTTAACTAAAACTTTTAATAGCTTAAAAGTTATTCAAAATATGACCGTCTTTGATTTACTGCAGTTATTTTTTCTTCCCCCATAACTTTGAGTCGTTGGTTACAAGAAACGCTCTGACATGGTTAGTCCCTAGCACTTGTGTCAGTTGCTATCCATATGAGCGCGGTAAACGAGCACAATATTTCATTTAAGGAACCATTCTCAAATCTTGGGGGGGACTGGGGAGGGGAGCTGACCATGTGCCCATATTTGGGCATAGGCACCAAATTTGAAAGCTTTTGCCCAAAATTCGATCAAATTTCAATATTTTTGAATGAGACTAACTTTATGTGAAAGATATAGCTCAATATCTGTTGAATAATGGATACTAAGTAAAAAGACCTCCATGAACAAAACTGCACATATAATAATATCTCGGTTCAGGATACTAGCCAAAATGACTTCATTAAAATCGAAATAACTCCATCAGTTTTCAAATTTTTGCATAAAATTTTCGGAATCGCTTAAGAATTGCATTTCAAGCTTATTGTGGGCAGCGACATAATTAACAAAAATAATAATAGATTAGTCTAACTTTGATTTGATTTAGTTTCTAGTGATATATATTTAATGTCGCTAATTATACTATTGATACAAACATGGCTCTAAAAATGGAGCTATACCAGGAGCTATACATAACGTTGTATTTGCTGGGTTTAGTGCAGAGGCTCTTGGTAAACGTCTCGAACAATCTGAAGCTAAAGTAGCATTCACTGCTGACAGGGTTCGTTCTTTCTTGTAATAATATTATAATATTATACTGTACTTACCATTAACGTATTCCATGGTAATGTCAATGCATTACATTGTATCACCATTCATCATGATACGATGTCACTCATGTACCATTACCCAGGCTATACGAGGTGGTAAACTGATTCCTCTGAAGAGTATTATGGACGAGGCAGTGAAGATGGCCCCCTCTGTCCAGAAAGTATTTGTTATGGACAGAACTGGAGCTGTAGAGCTCACTTCAAGCAAGGATGTGTCTCTTGAGAGTGTAATTAGTTTTACTTATTTACTTTTCATTACTTTTACTTATTCTCAGAGAAAAGTTTCTTTATGCTGATAAACTTTTTTTTAAACTAATAAAGCCAACAATTTATAATGAACAATTTATCATCAGCTATGATTATCACTTTATTCGCAGCTGGAATTCATTATATTTATTCCAGGAAATGGCTGGTGCCTCGTCAGAGTGTGCTCCAGTAGTATTAGACTCTGAAGACCCTCTGTTCATGTTATACACCTCTGGAAGCACTGGAGCTCCCAAAGGTACAACACTCATCACTAACTCAAATTATTTACTAACAACCTCATTGTCACAGTATCCCCGAGCATGAGAATGAACACGAGAGCGTGCTGACTTAAAGATTATGCTTTCCTTTTGCTTTGGAGACAGATCTGATAGCGATGATAGTGTCCAATACAATGATACAGCGACACCTCTAATCACAGTACCTCTTAATTATAGTGCCTCTTTTTTTAGAGAGTCTTTTTACCATACCCCGCCTAACGCCATCTACCAAGTGTAGAATGTAGGTAACAACTTGTAAGTAATACATCCTAATAAAAGGTACTGGTCAGGTTTAGTTCACACTCAGGCGGGCTATCTAACGTACGCTGGTTACACCCACCAGCAAATATTTGACTACAAGCCAGATGACGTGTACGCCTGTGTAGCGGATGTGGGGTGGATTACCGGTCACTCGTACGTGGTGTACGGTCCTCTCAGTAACACTGCTACCACTGTTATGTTCGAGAGTACGCCTAATTACCCCGACCCTGGTTTGTATTCTCTTTTCTAACATAATTCGCTTTTAAGTTGAGCGATTTGGTGGCGAAAATGATTAGAATTGATCGATGCAAAAAGTTGGGGTGCACTGACCTTGTAACAATGGTTCAGGTCGTTACTGGGAGACGGTTGAAAGGCTGAAAATAAACCAGTTTTACGGAGCCCCCACAGCTGTGAGACTACTCATGAAGAGCAGTGATAGTTATGTGACCAAATACGACAGGTAATCTCTTAGTTATGATGTAGATAATTATGTGAATAATTACTATATAATTTTAATTCTAATTGTGTTTTGATACTTTAGTTTGGAATAGTTGAAAAGAAGTATTGTTGTTAAATATAATGTATCGGTGTTTAGTTTTGACTATCCAGCCGTTATGCTGACTGCTGTGTGAGAAAAATGTGATTAAGGGGGCCGGGGGGTCTGCATCAAAATTCTATCGAAATTGATTTTATAGTTGTTCCTGATAGAGGGGAGTGATATCTATCAGCTGCTCTTAGGTCCCATGGACAAATATTGTTCCTAGCCGAAATTATCGCCGGTCGTTTTTTTATGATTTTTTGAAGTCCAAATTTTCAAAATCGAATAAAGCCTTTCCCAAAATTCTGTCTGGCTCATCTCTTTTAAATGATCTCTAGAACATACGATTAAAATACGATTAAAAATCGCTCACACGAAACAATTACACATAAGCGCTGACCTTTGACCGGCGATAATATTGGCTACCTTACGAGACATATTTAAATGGGACGAAAGTCGGTAGTTTTTCGAAAAAAACACCATATTTTCGGACTATAAATAAATATGATTCATCAAACAATTAATGAACACTATTATTCGATCATGAATTGCCTTAAAAATTATAAGTTAAGTTGAGGCTAATTTTCAAAGGCTACGGAGAAATTGTTTACAAGATGAAAGTTGAAACAGCCGCTCAGAGAAGATCTTTGTATTTTATTTTCTCAAATATTGGGTTTCATTTTTGTAAAATAAGGTGATGAATAAAATCCCCAAATATCAAGATTTAATTTAGGGTACGAAATGAGGCGGTTTTCGAAAAAAATTCCCATATTTTCGTTCCCAATTTATCATTTAGGTCACCGGAACTATGTCTAACATAAATATGTCTCGTAAGGTAGGAACAATATTTTTCCACATGGGACCAAAAGCCGCTGCGCTGATAGATATCACTCCCATCTATCAGAAACATCTTAAGAGGCCCCCCCCCCCCGGCCCTCTTAAGATCGGAATGTTGTGTAATTTAATAGCATTGTATACATTATTACATTACACAACGTTATATAATATCTATTTATAAATTATATATATTTTATTATCAGGTCATCGCTGAGAACGCTAGGAACAGTTGGTGAGCCTATAAATCCTAAAGCTTGGCAGTGGTATTTTGACGTTGTGGGAGAGGGGCGATGTCCCGTAGTGGATACTTGGTGGCAAACTGAAACAGGTCGAATATTTGTTAGGTTAAATAGATACTTGATCTTTTCAGATTGATCCTTTCAAACCTGGCCTAGACCCCAATAACCTCACTAACTTGAACTAACTGTCAGGAGGTATAATGATAGCTCCCAGACCTGGCCTAGACCCCAATAACCTCACTAACTTGAACTAACTGTCAGGTGGTATAATGATAGCTCCCAGACCTGGCCTAGACCCCAATAACCTCACTAACTTGAACTAACTGTCAGGTGGTATAATGATAGCTCCCAGACCTGGCCTAGACCCCAATAACCTCACTAACTTGAACTAACTGTCAGGTGGTATAATGATAGCTCCCAGACCTGGCCTAGACCCCAATAACCTCACTAACTTGAACTAACTGTCAGGTGGTATAATGATAGCTCCCAGACCTGGCCTAGACCCCAATAACCTCACTAACTTGAACTAACTGTCAGGTGGTATAATGATAGCTCCCAGACCTGGCCTAGACCCCAATAACCTCACTAACTTGAACTAACTAGAACTGTCAGGTGGTATAATGATAGCTCCCAGACCTGGCCTAGACCCCAATAACCTCACTAACTTGAACTAACTGTCAGGTGGTATAATGATAGCTCCCAGACCTGGCCTAGACCCCAATAACCTCACTAACTTGAACTAACTGTCAGGTGGTATAATGATAGCTCCCAGACCTGGCCTAGACCCCAATAACCTCACTAACTTGAACTAACTGTCAGGTGGTATAATGATAGCTCCCCGACCTGGCCTAGACCCCAATAACCTTACTAACTTGAACTAACTGTCAGGTGGTATAATGATAGCTCCCAGACCTAGACCCCAATAACCTCACTAACTTGAACTAACTGTCAGGTGGTATAATAATAGCTCCCAGACCTGGCCTAGACCCCAATAACCTCACTAACTTGAACTAACTGTCAGGTGGTATAATGATAGCTCCCAGACCTGGCCTAGACCCCAATAACCTCACTAACTTGAACTAACTGTCAGGTGGTATAATGATAGCTCCCAGACCTGGCCTAGACCCCAATAACCTCACTAACTTGAACTAACTGTCAGGTGGTATAATGATAGCTCCCAGACCTGGCCTAGACCCCAATAACCTCACTAACTTGAACTAACTGTCAGGTGGTATAATGATAGCTCCCAGACCTGGCCTAGACCCCAATAACCTCACTAACTTGAACTAACTGTCAGGTGGTATAATGATAGCTCCCAGACCTGGCCTAGACCCCAATAACCTCACTAACTTGAAGCCTGGAGCCGCTATGAGACCTTTTTACGGAGTGGATATTGCTCTCATGAGCCCTGACACCAAGGTTAGACGGGCTGCAGAAAAGCTCCTCTTCAAAAATCTTCCAAAATTTTCCGTTTATCAAAAGCTTTCTTTGGGTATGGAACTTTGATTACCTCAATCGTGTCTTGTGCCATCGTCAGTGACCTTTCTAGATAGTCATTCAAGAAAAAGAGTATATCAAAAAAAATTCCGCAGACAAGAATTGAAGGGAACGATGTGGCAGGGCACCTGTGCATAGCACAGCCGACACCAGGGCTTGCGCGCACTGTGTACGGAGACCACGAGCGCTACATTAAAACTTACTTCGCTGACTACCCAGGCTACTACTTCTCAGGTAAATTATCTTTAAAATTACACAATACATAGTAATTGCGGCCTAAATAAACACCTTCACACCATTTGCAAATCAAACACCAGTGCTTGTCCTATGTGCGGGGACGGAGAGGAAACTGTCTCACACTTCCTTGGACAGTGTCCGGCTATTGCCCAAATTAGAGGTCAATATTTCCAGGACTACTACCTCTCTGTCAATGACATATTCGACAACCAACACATCACCACAATTGTCAATTTCACAAACCGCACCAAACGCTTAATTGTGCCGGAAGAGCTGGATCAGACCGGGGTGACTTAAAGTATTATCTCATATGCTGTCTCGTCTCGTTTTACTTTTCCAAACCCAGCTGGCATTTAAGCGTATCATTTTGACTCATATAACATCCTACACCACCCTCCACCAATCACTCTGATCTCACCGGCAACCTTCCCCAAGGTTGCCACACCCCAGAGGTAGGCAGAGCATCTCAATGCTATCCTCTCGTGGGCTATCATGGCCCAGCCTCTCTAAAAAAAAAAAAAAAAAAAATACATAGTAATATCGATATAATGGTAACCAGTTCAACAGACGGTGGTTGTCCACATGAACGTTAATTCGTGCTCCAATACCGCCATCCCTCAGGTGACGGCGGGTACAGGGACGAGGATGGTCACATCTGGTTGACGGGCAGGGTAGATGACGTAATGAACGTGAGTGGACACAGGCTAGGCACAGCTGAGGTGGAAGGAGTTCTTGTGGATCACGTGGCAGTGGCAGAGAGTGCTGTGGTGCCGAGACCACATGAGATTAAGGGAGAGGGTTTGTTTTTTAATCACGGATCTTTTGTTGAGTGTGCACTTCAAAGTGCACAATTTTTGACTATAGGGACTTTGAAATGGTTCTAAAGGAGAAAATATCTGAATTACCAAATACACACACTTGATAGCACGAGTAACATCTTCAGTCTGCATTTGAATTCTCTTATAACATTAAGTTTGGTTCCTACTTTTGCCTCGAATTTAAAACTTTCTCACGTTCTAAATTTCGTGAAAACTCCTTCAAATTCAATCAAATAAGCCGTATAAAGAACTCTTATCTTCATAAATATTTGTTGCCAGAGAGTAAACTTAAGATGAACCAGATTGATAAGTAGTAATTCTTTCGCTGGGACGCTTTCTTTGGAAATATTCAGTCAAATTATTAAATTCCTGTCCATGACATTTCGTTTTCAATCTTTGAAAATTGTCTTATCTTTCGTTCATCCTGACATCTCGTTTAGGAAAGTAAGGAATAAAGAAATATCAGTTCTATTAAAATAATTATCAATTTTATACTTTCATCTTCGATTCGGTGACTTTTTTAAGGAGATAATAAGGGGAATGGCTGCACCACACAGTATTAATGAGTTGTAAATTTCAGGGATATTTGCATATGTCATTCTGAAAGAAAGTGTGGACATTGATCACGACGTTCTGAAGAAGGAAATGTCTGATATGATTTCAACGAGGATCGGAAAATTTGCTAAACCTGAAGCAATTGTGGTAGGCAGCAAAATTATCTTAGTTGTATCAATTGCTTACATAATGAAGCGTATATTTGACATGCTAACACTTCTTTTATCTTTCAAAACATACTTCCAGATCTGTCCTAATCTACCGAAAACAAGAAGTGGGAAGATAATGAGAAGGATTCTGACGAAACTAGCGGCAGGGGAAAAGGACGGGTTTGGAGACGTCTCTACTTGCTCTGATCCTTCCATCGTGGAAACCTTAATGCCACTTGTTGATGCTGTTATCTAGATCATATCAGATGTATACAGATCATACTGAATTGAAGCATATGTGTGTGTTGGTCATATCAACAATAAATCTATTTCCTAATGAAGTATAATTTAATACAGGACAAGTGGGATTAATTGCATGAGTACTGTATGGGTGGAAATATCTGGTATAGTTGAATACTACAATTTGAGATTATTGAGACTTAAAGTTAATACTGATATCTGTTTGCATGTTACTTGAAACCTTTTTAACTAATGATATGTGATAACTGAATGTTTAAGTTTTTAGTAAGTATTTTAGTAAACCTTTTTAGCAAGCAAGCCTTTTTAGGTAGCTTTTTTAATGTTATAAGCCTGAGCTGAAGTATTATAAGACGTATCATTTAAACTTTTAAAATTGTATTTTGGTAATGTAGGTTAATGTATGCAGGTAAATGTATAAGTTGAATAATTGTTATTACTATCATTCAGCATTTTAAATCGGTGACGACTTTGACTACATCAAATAATTGTCTTATTCCGAGGGTTTTATAATCATAAAAAACGGGGGACAGAGTGAAAAACATGAGAAAGTGCATCTTTTGCAGTGATTTTCTGAATTCTGTTACTTCAGAGAAGTTATCAGCTAAGTGATAAACAGTATAATACTCGTGTAAGCTTCATTCTCATTGAACCCCAAAAGTTCAGTCACGGACCCTAGTTAAATTTATATCTGGCCAGAGATCATGACCTATATAAAGCCATTTGATTACAGCTAAGCTTTACAGTATTAAGTTAAAGTATTTGTATTCAAGTACAGAACTGAAATTATGATCTTATTTCTAGACTGATGAGATTCGCCATTTAGTTTTTTTCGTTTCAAAAACATTATTGTCCCACACAAATAATCTTGGTTTTGTAGCAGTATTTGTATTTATTTCTTATCTTCTTTAATAACATTAAAGTTTTACTAATTATATAAGACGCTATTTATTGTATCAAATTCATAAGTTCAGTTTATTTTAAGATATTATAATAATTATCATTCCTATTGTTGCTCTGGAAATTAAACTTTTTATTCACCGTAAGATGACAGCTCTAGTAACTCTCTAAGATAGAGGTGTTCAAATAAAACAATCAACAACTTTATTAAATAGGATGTGCATATTAAATCCCTGCAATCCTACTAAAAATATATCCATTCTCCTATCTTCAGGTATGTATAACTAGTTACGAATCAATTGTTGTACTCGTTATGGAGAAAGTGGATAATTCTGTTGAAGAAGTGGACATGGAATTTGATCACATGAAAGTCGAAGGGAAGAAAGAGGAAGAAGATTCGAGAAGCAGGACTGGAGGCTTTGTATGTCCGACATGTGGCGAACAAATTATCAGTGAAAACTATTTCATTGAACATGTCAGGAAGTTTCATCATAACGCTAAATCCCCAGAACGGGAATTGGAGGATAAATTCTCGAAAGAATCTACTGAAGTTTCTAGAAATGAAAACAATAACTCTAGATTTGAAGATGGTAATTTTGTTGAACAAGATTATGATAAGTTTAAAAAAGAGGTGAAGACAGAAGAGGGGGAATCTCAGGACAACAATATGGAGTTTCTTTGTCCTGATTGTGGTGACACATGTTTGGGAGAAAACACATTTATTGAACATATTATCAGGGAGCACCAAATTGACAAATTAGCGTCACCACCCCCGCTACCACCATAAAGATCCAGATCCAGAACGCCGCCGCCTCCCCTGCCCAGGTACTTTTCAGAGGACACTAGGAGGGTAGAGAGGGGTGAATGGGGGCTCCAGGGTGCCGAAAGGAGGATCGGACCCTGGATGCGTTGGGATGTAGTGGAAAGAGAGGGGACGACCAGGGCTTTGGAGGATAGATGGAAGGGCTTCACAGATGATGTTTTGAAGAGGATGGAGGAGGCCAGGACCACGGAGGAGGCTAGGGAAATCTGGGGGGTAGTAGAAAAGGAAGCGGAGGAGCTGAAGGATTTGCTCATTAAGAAGGTGTTCACGGGTTTGGAGGAGCTTAGGGATGCTGGCAAGCTGGAGACTAACAGGAAGCCTGGGAGTTTTCAGATACTTAAGGGGGGCTTTAAGTACCTGGTCAAGGGGATGCAGGGGGATGTGGTGCGGAGTGTTAGGTTCCAGAAGGGGTTAGAGAAGATTAGCATGGATGGATTACTAGGATGCCTGGGACTGGTAAGGAGGCTGGTGGACCTGAGGAGGAGGCGGGAGTAATCATCTTTGGAGTGCCTCTTCTTTGATACAGAGTGCCGTCATCGTTTGGAGTGCCTCTTGTTTTATACAGAGTGCCATCATCATGGGAGTGCCTCTTGTTTTATACAGAGTGCCATCATCATGGGAATGCCTCTTGTTTGATACAGAGTGCCATCATCATGGGAGTGCCTCTTGTTTGATACAGAGTGCCATCATCATGAGAGTGCCTCTTGTTTTAAACAGAGTGCAATTTTATTTATTTGTTTTGATAAGGGGACAGATAATTATATATGGTATTTCGTTGGTATTTTGATATTTATATTTTTAAAATTTTATTGGATATTTATTATTGATTGTATTGTAGTGGGGATTTAGTCAATTCGGATCGAATCGATCGAGTTTATTCATTTTGATAAGGGGACAGATAATTATATTGTATTTCATTGGTATTTTGATAATTATATTTTTTTTAATTTTATTGGATATTTATTATTGATTGCATTGTATATGTAGTGGGGTTTTTTAAAGTTTTAGTCAATTCGATCTACGCCTCATTTACAGAAGCGGATCAAATCGATCAAACTGTCCCGGGGAGTATGGTGTAGTTTTGTAATCCTCAGTATGGAGGATTTATTTTACATTTTAATATTTTAATTCACCGTTTTTTTGCCACTTTTATTTTAAGGTTATCTCACGTTTCTATTTCATATTCGTACATTTACTTTCTTATCAATAGTTCGTTCGGCCTTTTGTTTATTTATCACATTTTTACGAGCCCTTTTTTTAAGAGATAAGGGAGAGATTTTGGGAGATAGCCACTTCTGTAAATGTAACCGAGCATTCGTCGGGTTTTGAGTTATAAAGTTTTCGACCGTTACGAGAGCGTTTTATTTGGTACAGTACACTAAATCTAAGTCTTGTTTAAAATACAGACTCCGGCAGCCTTCCACCTTTCTTGTTTTTAAACAGACTGAGTCAACACATCGCAGTTCACCGGAGTTCACTATCAGATCTACGTGCAGCCACTACCGCGAGTTGCTGAGTCCTCATCTCCTCGTTTACCGGGAGTTTAAGTATTAAGATTGTAATATCTTTTTTTAGACAGGTGCACCCGTAGCTCGTTTTATACAGTTACGTTTATTTATTAAGTCCTCGTTCATTGGGATTTGGGAGCAGTACTTTTTAGCTTTTAGTGTTAATTCCTCGTTCATCGGGAGTTGTCACTAATTTACCAGCACATATCTCGTTTAAAACAGATATATCGTTCCTTACTCCTCGTTTATCGGGAGCAGTTTATTGGGTTTTAGACCTTGTTTTAATACAGGTTCAGTTAGCTCTAGTCGCCCTATCCGTTGACCAGGGAGCGCCCCGTTAAGGCCAGTCAAGCCGGTTGCCGTGTAATAGCTGTTTCGTTTTTACACCATAAGACGCTATTTATTGTATCAAATTCATAAGTTCAGTTTATTTTATTCCAAGATATTATAATAATTATCATTCCTATTGCTGCTCTGGAAATTAAACTTTAATTCACCGTAAGATGACAGCTCTAACTCTCTAAGATAGAGGTGTTCAAATAAAACAATCAACAACTTTATTAAATAGGATGTGCATATTAAATCCCTGCAATCCAACTAAAATATATTCATTCTCCTATCTTCAGGTATGTAGAACTAGTTACGAATCAATTGTTGTACTCGTTATGGAGAAAGTGGTTAATTCTGTACTAGCTAAAGTTGAAGAAGTGGACATGGAGTTTGATCACATGAAAGTCGAAGTGAAAAAAGAGGAAGAAGATTCGAGAAGCAGGACTAGGGGTTTTGTATGTCCGACATGTGGCGAACAAATTATCAGTGAAAACTATTTCATTGAACATGTCAGGAAGTTTCATCATAACGCTAAATCGCCAAAACGGGAATTGGAGGATAAATTCTCGAAAGAATGTACTGAAGTTTCTAGAAATGAAAAGGATACCTCTAGATTTGAAGATGGTAATTTTGTTGGACATGATTATGATAAGTTTAAAAAAGAGATGAAGAGAGAAGAGGGGGAATCTCAGGACATCAATATGGAGTTTCTTTGTCCTGATTGTGGTGACACATGTTTGGGAGAAAACACATTTATTGAACATATTATCAGGGAGCACCAAACTGACTATGATTCTCAAGAAATAACAATTATCAAACCTCAAAGTAGTTCTGATGCCAACATAGTCTTAAGTCATCCTCTGGGGATTTAAATGCTCATAAAATTGAGGAAAAATCTCATCTCTCCAGTCATCTGAGACAGCATACAAGGGAGAAACCGTTTAAATGTTCGGATTGTTCGTATTCAGCTGCTCAAAAATCATGCCTCAATATTCATCGGAAAACACACACAGGAGAGAAACCGTTTAAATGTTCGGATTGTTTTTATGCAGCTGCAGTAAAATCAAATCTTATGGATCACCTCAAAACTCATACAGGAGAGAAACCGTTTAAATGTCCGGATTGTTCTTATGCAGCTGCCCTAAAATCAAGTCTTATAAAGCACCTCAGAACCCATACAGGAGAGAAACCGTTTAAATGTCCGGATTGTTCTTATGCAGCTGCCCTAAAATCAAGTCTTATAAAGCACCTCAGAACCCATACAGGAGAGAAACCGTTTATATGTCCGGATTGTTCTTATGCAACTGCAGTAAAATCAAACCTTAAAAACCATCTCAAAACTCACACAGGAGAGAAACCGTTTAAATGTTTGGATTGTTCGTATTCAGCTGCTCAAAAATCATGCCTCAATATTCATCGGAAAACACACACAGGAGAAAAACCGTTTAAATGTCCGGATTGTTCTTTTGCAGCTGCTCAAAAATCAAATCTTATGGATCACCTCAGAACCCATACAGGAGAAAAACCGTTTAAATGTCCGGATTGTTCTTTTGCAGCTGCTCAAAAATCGACCCTTAAAGACCATCTCAAAACTCACACAGGAGAGAAACCGTTTAAATGTTCGGATTGTTCGTATTCAGCTGCTCAAAAATCAAACCTTATGATCATCAGAAAACACACACAGGAGAAAAACTGTTCAAATGTCCGGATTGTTCATATGCGGCTTCTAGAAAAAACACTCTGAAGGTTCATCAGAAAACTCACCAAAATTGAATCATGTATTCACAGATTTTAACATTTTACTGCCAAATTTTCACAAAGTATAAAATCCTCATTTTTGTTGGATGTAATTAATGGTGTGTCATCATTAGGGGTCGTTCACAAATTAAGTAATCATTTTTTTGGAACATTTTCACACCACCCCCCCTCCGTAATCAGTTTTATAGTAATGTCAAAATTACACTAGCGTAATCATTCGGAAACTCCCTCCCCCCCCCCTCAGCTGAATGCTGATTACGTAATAATTATTATGTGAACGACCCCTTATATAGAATAAACAATTTTGACTGTTTCTACACTCGAGCTCTGTGACAACAATAAGATGTTTCGGAGCCTTTGCTAAGATAGCAGTCTCCCCTGAGTAGAAGTGCATTTCTGACCAAACAAAGTAATTCACAAACTTTTAATTTAAAATTTATTAGAAGAAGTATAGAACTGTATGCCTCTCTTACTCTTAACACTACCATGGTTAACCTGTTGTCATTTTACTCTAAAATGGTTCTATACTTCACCAAAATGTTACCCTGTAAATAATTATACATAATTCTGACGAAATGTCAAAGTGGGTATCTATATAATTATAGTAATAATTTTACCTTCATGCCCACAGTTTAATGTTTTAATCCACCATAGCATACCAATGTACCATACTTTATACTCATAAACTTTTTATTTATATGCTATATGTTTTGATTCTTAGTCCTTAGAAGGGCACTCTATTAACAGTTTTTGACTGATTTGAGTGTCCTGCACAGCAGATCGAAGCATCTTTAAATTATTTACTATTTTGATTGTATTGCTGTGTAAATTTAATCCTAATTCTAATTCTACGCACAGTACACGACTTTATTTTTAGAGTTCAAGAACAGATTTGTTTCAAACAAATCTGTTTTAAATATAAATATTTAAATCAGGGGTATCTGAGTAGAGATCATGATCATTAAGCTGGATATGTTTACAGTTTCAAGCATTTTCATTGTGCCGCTTTTTCAGGACCTGTTTTTTTACATCATAACTACAAATAATGTTTAGATCTTAATTCTAGATAGATGATGCTAGATACATAATCTTGGTTTTGTAGCAGCTATTTGTATTTTTTCTTATCTACTTTAATAACATTCAAGTTTTACTAATTATATAAGTCTAGTTTTTTTGTAAACTGTTATCTCGAAATTGAGTTTCGCATAGATTTCAGGCTGAACTTATATACTTGCAGTGGGATTAAGTAAGTTTATGTATTTTGCCTCGTTATTGACTACAAATTTGATTATCGGCCTATCGAATGCTTCGCATCAACTTACATGAGACAGACGAGATTTCCACGTTTCGAGGGGCAGTCACTCCTCATATTCTATTGTTTGTAGCGCGCAATACAAATATCATAATATTCACGCACCGTCATGTATATAGCCGCATTGAATTGTAAACTGGAAATGTTTCTACTACCACAATATTATACCCGCCATTCAAATCTGGGCAAATTGCCAGTCCGTAGAATAGTAATCACGCCACACATGGCCCGCAAATGTTGTTTATTTCGTAGAATTATTGCTCCCTATTTAATTGTTCTTGTCTTTAATTTGTTACAAATAAAATTTGTGTAATTTTTGATAAAAACTTAGTAAAAAAATGATAATCGTTCCGTATCCCAGGAATATACAATAATAACAGTGAAATTGAAGTACTTCGCATTTATATAACATAACAGTTGTTTATATCAGCAAGGATGTCAGTATTATTGGAGACAACGCTTGGTGACATTGTGATAGACCTTTACACTAAAGACAGGCCCAGATCAACTATGAACTTTCTGAAGCTGTGCAAACTGAAGATGTACAACTACTGTATGATCCACTGTGTTCAACGCAACTTTGTTATCCAAACAGGTAGTTATATACAGGTTACTATGGTTACAGGTACAATATATGCTATATACAGGCGTGTGACTATGGTTACGAACAGGTGTGATAGTTGGAACTTAATATACTGTAATATTGTGTGACTATGGTTACAAACAGGTGTGATAGTTGGAACTTAATATACTGTAATATTGTGTGACTATGGTTACAAACAGGTGTGATAGTTGGAACTTAATATACTGTAATATTGTGTGTCGTTACAAACAGGTGTGATAGTTGGAACTTAATATACTGTAATATTGTGTGACTATGGTTACAAACAGGTGTGATAGTTGGAACTTAATATACTGTAATATTGTGTGACTATGGTTACAAACAGGTGTGATAGTTGGAACTTAAAATACTGTAATATTGTGTGACTATGGTTACAAACAGGTGTGATAGTTGGAACTTAATATACTGTAATATTGTGTGACTATGGTTACAAACAGGTGTGATAGTTGGAACTTAATATACTGTAATATTGTGTGACTATGGTTACAAACAGGTAGTTGGAACTTAATATACTGTAATATTGTGTGACTATGGTTACAGTTTATAGATGCAATGACCTGATGGTAGCATCAAGGTGATAATACGCCACACTGTTACTGTGATGATTACGTAATATGTGAACGACCCCTTAATCTGGTAATACAGATGACATTATTTTACTTTGGTTTCAGGTGATATTGACCAAAAAGGCGGCAGCTCAATCTTCAAAGTCCTGTATGGCGAGCAAGCTAAATTCTTTGAGAAGGAAAATGTTCCCAAAATAAAACACACCCAAAAGTTGACGGTTTCTATGGTTAACGATGGTAAGACCTCTACGTTTTTCATGTCTACTTAATCGGCGTTCAACTTGGCATTTTCATTATGAACTAAAAGGTGGAGGAGAAACTTTATTTGGTCAATTTTAGGAAAAATTGCAGTTTGTCAAGTCCTTTCTCGCCGTTATCTCTATCCGGGCCTATATTTTGTGTCAATTCCTATTTCCTTTCTCATTCTGTTCTCAGTTCTACACACAAAATATTTATCAAGCTTTAAATTTTGAGAATTGTTCTTATATGATTTATTTAACAAATAAAACGCACTTTTTATCGAAATCAACGAAATAAAAACATAACTAATATTACTATTTGGTATTAACACTACTAGCATCTTTCTTTAACTTTACCTTAATATCATCCGTACGACTAATTGTTTTGTTTGCAATTGTTACAATTATTACGTTTACAGTTGAAATGAGCACAGCTTACACAGTATAGCTATATTGTTGAAAAATACAGTTGAAAAGTTGCCCTGAATCGTCAGTTTGTGACTATATCATTGTTTATCAAAACTTACTAACTTTATTCAGTTGTACTTTTTGCGATTAACTCACCGCATGGAAATTTTGGAGCTAAGTCGGTGGAATGGACCATCCTCCAGAGGCTCAGCTTCTGGGACCATCCTCCAGAGGCTCAGCCTCTGGGACCATCCTCCAGAGGCTCAGCTTCTGGGACCATCCTCCAGAGGCTCAGCTTCTGGGACCATCCTCCAGAGGCTCAGCTTCTGGGACCATCCTCCAGAGGCTCAGCTTCTGGGACCATCCTCCAGAGGTTCAGCTTCTGGGACCATCCTCCAGAGGCTCAGCTTCTGGGACCATCCTCCAGAGGCTCAGCTTCTGGGACCATCCTCCAGAGGCTCAGCTTCTGGGACCATCCTCCAGAGGCTCAGCTTCTGGGATCCCTTTCATTGCGAGGGGACTTGTCATATTATAATGTGAACGATTTCATAGTAAAGTACATTTTATTTCTATTATTAATTTAATAATGCGACGTAAGATGTGGAGTAATGTTGGGTAATGTGTTGTAATAGTAACCACTATAGTGCACTATTTCAGGTAATGGTTACCATGGTTCCCAGTTCCTGATAACTACAACTGAGGACGCAGATGCTCTGGATAGTCAACACACTGTCTTTGGTATCGTTAGTGAAGGTAAGTCACTTTTTTTTTTCTTTTTTTTTTTCTTTTTTTTTTTTAATGAGGAACCTGCCAAACCCCAGGACACCAGGAGGATACCACCGGCAAAGCGGCTAATAGTACCCTCCGGTCTGTGTTGTACCGAAGAAGCTGAGTTAATCGATCATGACTCGGCTTACCAGCCAAGAGGTAAGTCACTTTGGTACACCAAGTTTCCTTAATTTATCGGTCACCTCCCCTTAAATATTCATTGTGCTGGCAAGCTTCTCAGTTTGATTTAAACTCAGTTTTCTATTATCTGTCCAATGAAAAAAGGTTGTTTTTTAATGTTGCATGAGAGATGCGGTATGCTAATTGTTTCTACAACGAACGGGCAACGTGCTTGCCTTCGCAAAGTTATATGTAGTTTAATAATCGTATTTTATACAGTGGATAATTTGCACGATGTTGGGTCTTTTGTTCAATAAGGGCTATCTAATTCTCTATTATCAGATGATAAAACAATTTTATCAACAATAACGATAAACGTTAACCGTAGTCTGGGATTCTCCGAATAGTTTACCTTTCTCCTACATAATTGTATAAATATTTAGTGGTGAGACTACGAGGCTGGCAAGTTCGCTATTTCACTCTTTAAGTGTTGAGGAATAATTTGAACTCGGTACGTAGCAGCTTCCTTCCACTGGGTGAAGAGAAGAATACAAGCTTTACATGGGGAAATAGCTTATGATGGAGCTGCAGTGTATACGCAGTGTATACGCACTACGCAGTGTATACGCAATGTATACGCAGTGTATACGCAGTGTATACGCAGTGTATACGCAGTGTACGTGTTTAAAGCTTTTACGGTTATTCTGAATCTCACTGGGTGTTGGTTATGATAGCTGGAATTGTACCAATAAAAGTGTCTTTTATTCTCATTTTCAATTCACACATACATATCTTTACCATCGAGATATTAAAGTTGACTCTGCTTAAAGCTCTTAAAATGACCTAAAAGAACCTACACGCGGAGTAGTTTCCCTATCTGTTACTCTATTAGGATGGAGCTGCAGTGTATATACTATACGCTTCACTCTATTCAACAATCAGTATCCTCCTTATCCGCTACTCTGGGGATTCTGTCTTTGGAGAAGAAACCAAAAGCAACTCCCGAGTATTCGGGCACCACACCAATGTCACTGTTAAGCCCATTCTCAATTGTAGAGTACCTGGAATTACCATTAGCGGATCTCAGTCTCATGAAGTTATTGAAACGGTTGATGATGAGGGGAAAGGGTAGGGAGATAACCAGGATCCCAGTCAGAGCACACAAACTACCCACCACCTTGCCCATGGCCGTCTTTGGGGCGTAGTCACCGTACCCCACAGTGGACATTGTGATGATACTCCACCAGAACCCAGTGATGATGCTGTCAAACTGGTTGCTAGGCGTAGGAGGCGGCTCACAGCCCTGCACATCTGAGATAGTAATAGTCTTGTTACCCAGAACAATAGTGAGAGGAACCGCCAGCTGTGAGCCGCACTCTGATAACATGTTTGTAAGGTTGATTACAGGGTTACATGTTGAATTTAGCTGAATAAGAAAGTCGAATGTGTTATTGACATGCACTGTCATAACCTCGTCAGGCTGCTCTGTGAAGAATATTAGACTGCTGAACAGAACTACAAAAGTTATCAACATGAGAGCTAGTATGACAAGTTCCCCCGCGCTGGAACTGAGAGCGTAACCCAGGGCAAACAGTCCCTGAAAGTAACGAGACATCTTAAATATGCGCACTATTCGCAAAGTTCGGAAGAAGCGGAGTACCATGAGGAAACTGAGGTTCTTCTGTTGTCTAAAGATCAGATCTAGGTAGAAAGGCAGTATCGCGAGTAGATCGAACCTGAGAATACAAGTCGTACCTTAATGATCGTAATATTTTAGATCACAAAATGTAGTTATTTCAATGTTATTAACTAAAAAGAGGGTTTTCTGACAATCAACATCCTGATCAAAATAGTTGAACAGCATTAATAACAAAGTGTTAACAAAGTGTTAACCAATAATTGAACAGCATTAATAACAAAGTGTTAACCAACCAGTTTAGAACAGACTTAGCGAACCGTCTTTTGTCAGGACAACAGACAAATCGTATTGTAAAGTTCAGTGTGAACCAGATGTTGCTGACCGCTTCTATTGCCAGAAGAGCTACACAGGACGTGGGACCGCTGTAGTAATAACTGTCAACATATTAGAACATGCTCTACTGAGATCACATTAGAACATATAATTACCCTATTCTATCTAACTAACCTTTTTTGTCTTTACACTCCCCAGGCCCTCATTTACCACCAGCCCCTCATTTACCTCCAGCCCCTCACTAACCTTTAACCCCTCACTAACCTTCAGCCCCCTCCCCCAGCCCCTCACTAACCTTCAGCCCCTTCCCCCAGCCCCTCACTAACCTTCAGCCCCTCACTAACCTTCAACCCCTAACTAACCTTCAGCCCCCTCCCCAGCCCCTCACTAACCTTCAACCCCTCACTAACCTTCAGCCCCCTCCTTCAGCCCCTTACTAACCTTCAACCCCTAACTAACCTTCAGCCCCCTCCCCAGCCCCTCACTAACCTTCAACCCCTCACTAACCTTCAGCCCCCTCCTTCAGCCCCTTACTAACCTTCAACCCCTCACTAACCTTCAGCCCCCTCCTTCAGCCCCTTACTAACCTTCAACCCCTAACTAACCTTCAGCCCCCTCCTTCAGCCCCTTACTAACCTTCAACCCCTCACTAACCTTCAGCCCCCTCCTTCAGCCCCTTACTAACCTTCAACCCCTAACTAACCTTCAGCCCCCTCCTTCAGCCCCTTACTAACCTTCAACCCCTCACTAACCTTCAGCCCCCTCCCCAGCCCCTCACTAACCTTCAACCCCTAACTAACCTTCAGCCCCCTCCTTCAGCCCCTTACTAACCTTCAACCCCTCACTAACCTTCAGCCCCCTCCTTCAGCCCCTTACTAACCTTCAACCCCTAACTAACCTTCAGCCCCCTCCTTCAGCCCCTTACTAACCTTCAACCACTCACTAACCTTCAGCCCCTCCCCCAGCCCCTCACTAACCTTCAGCTCCTCCCCCAGCCCCTCACTAATCTTCAGCCCCTTCCCCAGCCCCTCACTAACTTTCAACCCCTCACTAACCTTCAGCCCCCTCCTTCAGCCCCTTACTAACCTTCAACCACTCACTAACCTTCAGCCCCTCCCCCAGCCCCTCACTAACCTTCAGCTCCTCCCCCAGCCCCTCACTAATCTTCAGCCCCTTCCCCAGCCCCTCACTAACTTTCAACCCCTCACTAACCTTTAACCCCTTCCCCCAGCCCCTCACTAACCTTCAGCCCGTTCCCCAGCCCCTCACTAACCTTCAACCCCCTCCACAGCCCCAACTAACCTTCAACCCCATCCTAAGCCCCAACTAACCTTCAACCCCCTTCCCCAGCCCCCACTAACCTTCAGCCCCCTCCCCCAGCCCCCCACTAACCTTCAGCCCCCTCCCCCAGCCCCTAACTAACCTTTAGCCCCCTCCCCAGCCCTTCACTAGCCTTCAGCCCCCAGCCCCACTAACCTTCAGCCCCCTCCCCAGCCCTTTACTAACCTTCAGCCCCAAGCCCCCACTAACCTTCAGCCCCCTCCCCAGCCCTTTACTAACCTTCAGCCCCAGCCCCCACTAACCTTCAGCCCCCAGCCCCCACTAACCTTCAGCCCCCACTAACCTTCAGCCCCCACTAACCTTCAGCCCCCTCCCCAGCCCTTCACTAACCTTCAGCCCCCAGCCCCCACTAACCTTCAGCCCCCACTAACCTTCAGCCCCCTCCCCAGCCCTTCACTAACCTTAAGCCCCCAGCCCCCACTAACCTTCAGCCCCCTCCCCCAGCCCCCACTTACCTTCAGCCCCCTCCCCAGCCCCTCTAACCTTCAGCCTCCTCCCTCAGCCCCTCACTTACTTCCAACTCTGATCGGGCGGACATTCCGCCCTGATTTGTGGCAGGGATTCCAAGCATTGTGCTACAACTGCTATTAGTATTATCACCAGATCCAAGTAGGCTATCACTTTTGCAAGTCGTCCAGAATCTGGATTATCCAGGCACTGAAAACGGACATTTTGTGTGAGTAAATTTCGTTTCATTTTGCTGTAACTACTGACTTATTGTAGAGATCACTGGTTTTACATTTTTAAGGGAATTGTGAAATAATGTACGGATCTCCTTATGATATGTTGTCAAACCTTTTCTTGACCTTCAGCTTAATTTGAACGGTTTGAAACTAATATTGAGTTGGTACGATATTCCATACAGAATTTTACCTTACTCATTATACTCAAGTCATATCATAATTACTAAAAATGTAGTTGAGACTTCACAAAACGTTGACAATATTATTTGAAAGACTCACCATCCATAACTTCTTCTGTAAAGGATGGCAGAAACGCATGCCTTGGTTAATGAGCCACTGACTGCTGGCTTGCTGGATAGCAAAGCGGGAGATAACATGAGGTCCCATCTTAAAGAATCGCAGCTCCTCCACGAAGATGTCTGGGTTGATGTGAGAGGGAAGACACATTACCCCGTTTGAAAGGTAGTAACCTAGGATGGGCTGGAAGACTGCCCTGTTCCGATCGAAAAAATATTCCCCCCTTTCCGCCTCATAGTAAGATTCTATCTCGTCAGAACCTGAGTTATACCTTATTAGAACTGAGTGTAGATCAAGTAGATCATCTTGAAGAAAGTAAATAAGTCTACACAACAATGCACTAAAATATATAGGGTTTCATCAATATATAGATTCAATATAGATCAATAGATTATAACTAACCTAACAAAGTTTCGGGGTATCTTCTCAAAGTGCTTCTCCGTGTTTGAAAGCACAGTCCCCCCACGTTAAGCGTCACAATATCTCTGTTTTTAGAGGAAGAAACAGCTCTATCTCTGGTCTGATGATTGTTCACTGTCAGGGAGGGCCGACTCGTCTGGGAGGGCCGCCTCGTCATCTGCATATCGTCAGCTTTTTTGGCTTTAAAGATATCTTTCTGAGAGTGAGCCCGCCTGGTTGGCGGTCTAAAGTTCTGTTGCAACGGCATTTCGTTTTAAGTTTTATCCATTATAATTCAAACGTTTCAACCACGTTTTAGGCAAGTAAATAAGTTTCAATGCTGCTGGCACAAAATTTAATACAAATACAAGTACTATACAGAGAATAGACGGCGTGAATAAATGTATTGTATCACGAACAAAGCATCTTATATTAGATTCTCCCATACTCGGGTGAGAAATAGTCACCTACTACTCTTCGGTCACGTGTACAATCACATTAACGCTGTATTAATAAGTGGTCTCCACATTACAGCACACTATTCTTATAACCATGTTGTAGGAACTGTGCGCATAAGTCTCGCGATCTTCCGCTTAATGACATTAATCTTTTCTGCGAAATCAACTCTAAATTGAATACATGTGGTGGACTTCATTGGCACTAAAACTGACTCGCTTTGTCACTCAGATTTTTAACATGATGACCGTACGATTTTAATGGCATTTGGCTTATCGACTGAGTTCTGGAGATCTTAAAAGCTATTTTGTACGTAGCATCCGACTGATACGAATTAACACCGAATGAAACATCAAATGCACCTCTATTTAAATACTTAACAAATCAAGCATTTTACCACACTAAAGTCGGACTTTTAAAAACGCTCGACAGATGGTGGTACTTGCAAACTGATATGATCTATTTATCTAACGCTAGTACTGACGAAAACTTGTTATTGCAAGCTTATAGAATAAAATCCTAAGAAAATGTAAGGAATATTATTCCTAAATTTTTCTATGGGTTTATTCCGGCAAATTGAGTTGAGATCGAAAAAGCTAACATACATTCACTTAAACTGCGAAGAAAATGTCGAAGTAAATTATTTATCTTGTCGTAAATAAAAGGAAACTTGGTTAACCATTTCAATAAATGAAATAATCATCGATTATGTAAACATAATTTATATAATGGATGACACCACACGAACATTTATAAATAATCACTGAACAATTTTAAAAGACGTAAAAAAGAGCCCTAGCTCCGAAGAGGTATTTCCTTGCATCCAAACTCGATGGACTGCATGTTAACTTTGTGAACTTCCGCAAGTCAACAGACCCCTCCCCCACGTTCGTTTTTTATAAACCCACTCCCCATTTCGTGGGGCCAACTAAACCAGCTCATTTCATGACTGTTAAGCAGAACGAAATAAATGCAATCCAACTGTTTGTAATACTAAACGTTGGGCTATAAGGATTAAGGAGCCTGTGTGTAAGTGGGGCAGGGGTTGTCAGGCTGCGTGTAAGTGGGGCAGGGGTTGTCAGGCTGTGTGTAAGTGGGGCAGGGGTTGTCAGGCTGCGTGTAAGTGGGGCAGGGGTTGTCAGGCTGCGTGTAAGTGGGGCAGGGGTTGTCAGGCTGCGTGTAAGTGGGGCAGGTGTTGTCAGGCTGCGTGTAAGTGGGGCAGGGGTTGTCAGGCTGCGTGTAAGTGGGGCAGGGGTTGTCAGGCTGCGTGTAAGTGGGGCAGGGGTTGTCAGGCTGCGTGTAAGTGGGGCCGGAGATTATCAGGCTGCGAGTAAGTGGGGCAGGGGCTATCACCCTGCGTATTAAAGAGACAGGGACTGTGATTTAAATGGAGCAGAAAGCAGGGCTAATTTGTATAGAGACCCATAGCTTGCAATACCAGGATTGCTCAGTTGTGGTTATGGTATAATTGTTAGTGCCCTCACTCATCACTGCAATCAGCTCACACCACCAACCGTGATGTAACAGAGGGATAATAGTAATATTAGTTAGCAGCCGCCTTGTCAGTCAAAATACAGTACATTTATTGATATTTCTACCACTATCGGTGCGGGTTTTACAATTAGCGTGATTATAGATAAATCTACTAATTCCTTTCATCATTCATCTGATCTATTATAATCCTGACTCTCCCCTTCTCTAGAATCTATATTGTAGGAAATGTTCGAGTAGAAGTTGACATTTTTCTACTTTAAAGTAGGAGTTGACATTTTTCTACTTTAAAGTATTCAACTTAATTTAGACCTTTTGGAAGTTGTCCGAATACATAGTTTAGGCCATCACAAATAGACGATTCGTGAAGATCGGCTTTTTACAAAGCACAAACTAAAATTTAATCGCGATTATTTAGAAAGATGAGCAACTTAAGAACAAACAACGGTCAATTTTTGGAACCTTTAAACGATACTCCAACATACTGCAGAATCCCTATAAAAAATTACACAGTAAATAATAAATATGCAGTGCCTTAAACGAGTGATTACTAACCACCGGAGTATTGAAAAGCTTGATTTTACTATTCTTGTGGGCTACTCTAAAGAAGTTGTGAACTAGGTTAACAGCAAATACCTTGAGCACAACAAATATGCCAAGTCATTTAAACAAAAGCCAAGTTTCAATCCTTCCTCATTATTGTTATAATTGTCTTAGATAAGTTCTTACTTTTACAAAAGGTAAAATCTTGCAGACGTCTAGACTCTAATTTTCTACTTAGATTACTCAGCTGGATTACACGGTTACAAATTAAAAGAAGTTTCAAAGTAAGTGACTAAGCCTACGGAGTTAAAATTTAAGACATTCTCTTTGAGTAAAATTGAATTCTGAGTAGTATAATGTAAGGAATGTTCTGAGTAATATGATATAAGTCAAAGTGAAGGAGATATGTGGTACTATCCATTTTGTATAGTGAAATAATTTCTTAAGAAACTAAGCAACATATATATTGTATATAAACAAGTTTCGTTATGACTCTTTCCTGTTAAAAACAATTCAATTATACATAGCTATATCACACCTAACTAAATTTCAGCTGACAAAAACAAGACACAACAATATAACATCACATAATATAATAGTGCACTTAGTAATACCACTTAGTCTCATATTCTATGCTGTTAAAATCCCCTTCATGTCATTGGCGTGCAGCGCCTCCGTTGCACGTAATACGAGTAACTTGAAGCAGCTCTTAGCTGCTAAAGCGTGCTATGCACTTGAAATAAAACCTGCACGTGTTAATATAGTTCATTCGTTAGGACTGTTACACTGACAACTCTTTTAGGCTTCTAAGTACTTAGCACGAAAACGTACCAAAACTTTAGCATTATTGAAAATAAACAGTCAAAAATGCGGTGTTAACTAGAGGAATATTATACAATTACACATAATATGTATAAAATATTATATACAACATGTACCTAATCACATGCTCACGCTTGCATTAAAAAAGCCCTGTCAACAATACTTGAGATCAATTCAATCGCTCTAGCCAATCAGAGAGCTATATCCACCAGCGTGCGCTTTTTCGCATAGCGGGCTCTCACCAGCCCGCTGTAAAAGGGCCCGATATCTTTGCAGCCCGCTCATGATATAGCCCGTTAACAAGTGACATTTAATTTGACCAGTAGCAATATAGCCCGGAGTTCTCTAAAATATTTTCAGTTTCTGTATCGTCTCCTTGTGAAATTCCTTATTACACTGACTATATACATACAACTGTATATACATTTTATTTTTGTGTCCGGTAGGGTCATGCAGCTCGTGAGCAGATGACATGATACTTTGATTTATATCAAAGTTATTATAACACACTACATAATACACATCAGCACTATAATCGGTCACCCTATATTATTGATATTCATCGTCACTGACATTACATTCATTATTCCCACGGCCCAGGAATGCAGTGCATCTCCAGCCCCTATATACGACACACCCCTTTATGATTGGCTTACATTGAACAACTACAAGTGACGTGTTACCATGGTTACAACAATTAGTGGTGACCTTTTCTAGAGTTGACTTTTATACAAGCTCCATTGTTTATTTATAAAATTATATATTAACTGTAATACGCCCGCTGGTGGATATAATCCACATCACCTCGACCTGCGGGCGGAAAAATCGTATAGCACTCGGGCCCGATGGGCCCTCCGTGCTATACGAAAATATGTCCTCCTCGGGCTAGCGCCCTCGGGGACATATGAAATATTGCACGCGCGTGCGCGTGCAATATTTTGTTCCGCCCGCGAGTCTCCGGTGATATGTATATATATCCCTGACACGCGGCACAAATTAACCAATCAAAGAGCTATATCCCTATCTCGTGGCACAATTTACTCAATCAGAGAGCTCAGAGCTATATCCTTGTCATTTTACACAAATTAACTTAAACCCTGAAATCCTCGTCACGTGACACAAACTAACCAGAATTAAGTCCGAAGCACACGGTCAAAACTGCATCATTTTATACATCTGCGATACAAGTGATGCTGTATTCCTGCCAGGGACAAATTTACAAGATACAGCCCATTAGTGATACGTGTACATGCCTAAACATGATTCACAATATGTCTGCGGTTGGTGGTATTTTACACACCCAATTATTAATGCACAATGAGTGGATAAGTTACAGAAATTTTGTAAACTTCGGTTTATCAATTGTATTGTTCAGCTAATTGTTTGTATAAACGCGCTGCCGATTATCATACGTTAAAGGGGAAAGAAGTGTCATGGATATTGGATATTAGGAACATCATGGACAAGAAAGCTACTGTTCATTTGTCGTTCTTTAATTTTTGGTGATTGGGCACCCTCTTTAATTTAATGACTCTCCTGGTTTGGGCTGCCGATTTCCAATTACTGTTAACCGGTAGTTGTAATATTTAAAACTAATGATGTTTCACGCATAGAAACTAATTCGAGTATGTATTCAAATGTACGTGATCACTCGTTCAAAGGACTGGAAAATTTGCCGGCACAAACAAAACAAAAAGATTGATCATAATTTTAAGCGATAACGTTATTAATCAATGTTGATTAGACAATTGTGTGCACCGTACATGATAGAAACTCCATGAGGCTGGGTGACTTTCCAGCAAAACAACAGTTTTGCTTCAAATGTGTATATAATAAGTAATAACTGACTAGCTTAATGAACCAGGTCTAATATCCGATCTCTATTCAATACCCATTACCTTGATTATGCCATACGGACGCCAATTGTAACTGGATTACCCCTCTCCTTCTCCCCCTCCCCCCCCCCCCCCTGGTTAATGATCGTGACTGAAATATTGGGGAAGTAAAATTGGCGACTAGTAAGTTAGATAGGTATCAGACGAATGTTAACCGGGCCCCAAACATTCACTCCACCGCTCCGAGTCTGATCATTAAAGGAGATAACGTTACTATTTAACCTATTATAAGTTGTTTGATAATGATGTGTTTGTTGCAGGGGAAGATGTGGTGTCTCAGATTAATGAGGCGTATTGTGACGAGAAAGGGAGACCTTATCAGGACATCAGGATCCATCACACTGTAATCCTACATGATCCTTTCTCAGACCCAGAGGTTATTATTTCTCACTTTAACTTCTTTCTATTATACTTTAACTTCTTTCTATTTAACTTCTTTCTATTATATTCTAATTTTAATTAATTGACTACTTATTATTTGGCTTCTTATTCATGTTCTGTTACTTATTTTACCCTTATATTCTCATTTTACCAGCCATTGTGCTATCATCTGATCATGTCAATATCCCACACGACTGTTATCATGCTATTTATCAAACACCACCGCAGTTACGTATCATTCTCGCACAGATAGATGTGACATCGTGCAAGATATTGTAGCTGCTTTTTGTAATTGTTCACACTTTATTATAAAGCTTCTCTTTCAGATGCTTCCTGTCCCACCTCGCTCTCCCTCTCCTCCACCCTATGTCATACAATCGGACAGGTCTGTTATTTCACTTTTCAATAAGAGAATAAGAAGGTATTTTTATTCGGCTGTTTCATAACGTTACTAACACTAGTTACTATCTAGCTCTGATGTAAAAGTCGGCACATTGTGTTAGACAGCCCGCAGCCACTAACCATGGTAAGTTTAACCAAGTTATTTTGTTGTTGCTCGTTCTCGAAATAATGAGATTCTTCCCTTGATGCTAATGTAGTCTCCTTGTGCAGCTAAACTAACACCCCCCCCTCCTCCGCAGCTAAACTAACACCCCCCCTAGCCCATTCCCCCTCCTTCCCCCTCCTCCGCAGCTAAACTAACACCCCCCCTCCCCCACTGCTAAACTAACACCCCCTCCTTCCCCCTCCCCCGCTACTAAACTAACACCCCCTCCTTCCCCCTCCCCCGCTACTAAACTAACACCCCCTCCTCCTCCCCTCCCCCGCTACTAAACTAACACCCCCTCCTCCTCCCCTCCCCCGCTGCTAAACTAACACCCCCTCCTCCTCCCCTCCCCCGCTACTAAACTAACACCCCCTCCTCCTCCCCTCCCCCGCTGCTAAACTAACACCCCCTCCTCCTCCCCTCCCCCGCTGCTAAACTAACACCCCCTCCTCCTCCCTCCCCTCCTTCCCCTCCCCCGCTACTAAACTAACACCCCCTCCTCCTCCCCTCCCCCGCTACTAAACTAACACCCCCTCCTCCTCCCCTCCCCCGCTGCTAAACTAACACCCCCTCCTCCTCCCCTCCCCCGCTGCTAAACTAACACCCCCTCCTCCTCCCCTCCCCCTCCTTCCCCCTCCTCCGCAGCTAAACTAACACCCCCTCCTCCTCCCCTCCCCCGCTGCTAAACTAACACCCCCTCCTCCTCCCCTCCCCCGCTGCTAAACTAACATCTCTTTATTTTCAGAGAGAAGTAGTGTGTCTCCACGTGGGTCAGACAGGGGTCCGTATAGGTAGTGCCTTATGGCAGCTCCTCTCTCAACAACACTCCTTACACCCTGACGGTAGCTTATCCTCACGTGACCAGTTTTACCCTACCTCTATGTTCAGTGAGAGTAGCAGTGGTGAACTGACCCCCCGATGTGTGTTCACTGACCTGGAAACTACCATAGTAGAGGACGTCAGGAGGGGACCCTGGGGTGGGCTGTACCAGTCAGACTGTTTTGTAACTGATAAAGAAGACGGAGCCAGTAACTACGCTAGGGGGAACTTGTCAGTAGGAAGGGGCCGTGTGGGGGAGTGTTTAGATCGGATCAGGAAGGAGGTGGAAGGGTGCGAGTCTCTGCAGGGACTAGTGATATCTCACTCTGTGGGAGGAGGAACTGGGGCTGGCTTCACTGCTCTCCTCAACCAACACCTCCGAGACCTCTACAAACACAAAACAAAGTTACAGTTCACAGTCTTCCCCTCCCCTCACATCTCACCTATAGTTGTAGAACCCTACAACACAACACTTTACATGAGCCATGCTCTGGATGCCTCTGACTCAGAACAGTTAACAGTCCTGCTGGATAACGAATCTTTGTACAAGGTGGCTCAGAGAGAAGGAGTGGAGTTGCCCGACTACTACGATATAAACCAGCTCATTGGTAGGATAGTAGCCTCTGTTACAGCTCCAATCAGACTACAGGGCCCTCAGACAGTGGACCTTACCACTATCCAGACTAACTTAGTACCTTACCCCAGGATCAGTTATGTGACTGCTAGTTTGTCCCCTAACTGTGAGGGCAACACTCACCAACTTACCTCTGTATCCGATATGACTGTATCATGTTTTGGCGAGGAAACTTCAACTCTTGATTTAGACAGGGTACATGGTAAAGTACTTTCTAGCTGTCTGCTGTACCAGGGGTCTGTAACTCCGGGGGAGATTAACACGGCCATTCGTCAGCTGTCCGCTCTGCGAAGTTTGAAAACCACCAGCTGGGTACCCTGCCCTTTTAAAGTAGGGATAGTAAATCAGTCCACCAAATCTGACCCTGTCCTTCCGTCCGTGTGTGCTTTAACCAACCACACCGGCCTTGAAACCACTATTGAGAGCATAACCGGGAAGTTCGAGAGACTGTACCGGCGGCGCGCATTCTGCCACTTCTACCATGGTGAGGGGCTAGGGCAGGACGAGTTCCAGGACGGGTTAGAGCAGATGTCAGCGTGGGAGAAGGACTACATGTACGAGAACCATCCCTACCAAGGACCCTGGTACCGCTACAGGGGGGAGGGCGATGAGGACTCAGACAGCGATGAGAGTGAGGAGTATGGGGAGGGAGGTGGCAATGTGGAGACGTTAGTGAGAATTAGAGGGAGGGGGGAGTGAGGGTGATATTTAAAAATATGATATTTTGATATGTTAATTTAATTTATGTTTTAAAGATTTGAAATTTGTATATACGTATAGTTGTATTTAAGTTATTATTGTTCAGAAACATTATGTCAATAAATTATGATAGCATTGTATTTTATATTATTGTAATTAGATCCGTTATTTTCATCCTTTTAGCTTTCAACAGCTGTATATATCATCCGATTTAGTGTATTTAATAAGATAATTGTCTTTTAGAATATTATAATTGCTGTGTTAGAGTTTTTGTGTGTTTGCCATTGCTTTCAGTAATCACTTATCAGTCAATTAATATAAAGAATTTTTAGCAGATGTTAAATTTTTCAGTTCTCGTAATCAACGCTTTTTTTAAATTCATCGATGGCATAAATAACGAGGACATTTTGTCATTGATCCTAGAAATACCCGAGAGTAAATATGACGATTATTAACGCACCCATCTGTTGCATAGCTTAAATATTTATTTTACAATATGAATTTGCAGGTTGGCGGTGGGAGAGACGGTCAACAAGTTAGCTGGACATAATACAGAAGATGTGGTGGAGTACATCGAGGAGAAAGAACTCAAAGCTAACACTCAAATGTTAGAAATAATCGGTAAGTAAGGAACTCAAAACTAACACTCAAATGTTAGAAATAATCGGTAAGTAAGGAACTCAAAACTAACACTCAAATGTTAGAAATAATCGGTAAGTATGGAACTCAAAACTAACACTCAAATGTTAGAAATAATCGGTAAGTAAGGAACTCAAAACTAACACTCAAATGTTAGAAATAATCGGTAAGTAAGGAACTCAAAACTAACACTCAAATGTTAGAAATAATCGGTAAGTAAGGAACTCAAAACTAACACTCAAATGTTAGAAATAATCGGTAAGTAAGGAACTCAAAACTAACACTCAAATGTTAGAAATAATCGGTAAGTAAGGAACTCAAAACTAACACTCAAATGTTAGAAAAAATCGGTAAGTATGGAACTCAAAACTAACACTCAAATGTTAGAAATAATCGGTAAGTAAGGAAATCAAAGCTAACACTCAAGCGTTAGAAATAATCGGTAAGTAAAGAACTCAAAGCTAACACTCATATGTTAGAAATAATCGGTAAGGATTCAGCTAATTAAGGAATTCAAATGATAGAAACTATCGGTTAGTATTAAGTAAGGAGCTGGAAGTTAACACTCAAATGCTAGAAACAACCGGTAAGTAAGGAACTCAAAGCTAACACATGAATGATAGAAAAAGCCGGTGACTCGGTGACAAAGAATCACGAAGCCAACAGTCTAATGTTAGAAAAAATCGCATACGGAGTATAGTACGTGCTAGTACTACGGAAAAAGCTCAAACCTTATAAAATTGTCGGGAAGTTAAATGTGACTGCTTTATTTAATCGAGTTAAAGTAGGGTCTATCCTATATTAATGCAGTTAATTAGGATATATCCAACTCTCCTTTAAGTGTATTACCTAGTGTCTGCCGGGGACTATGATCTATGGATAAAGTGATTGATCTGAGTTAAAGTTAGGATAAAGTTAGGATAAACCGAATTGTTTTCAGGGGATATTGCTGATGCTGATATGAAGCCCCCGGAGAATGTACTCTTTGTGTGTAAACTGAACCCTGTTACTTCTTCAGATGATCTGGAGATAATCTTTTCTCGTTTTGGGACTATCGAGTAAGGATAATTGTTACTTAAAACTCAATAAGTTAGGCTCATGGTAGTTCGCGGCGCGCACGAGCGATAGCCCTTATCGATCGGTACACGGTAAACCGAGGGAGAAAGATATGAATTAGGATAATTTGTAGGTTTTTTTAAATAAGATTTTATCTGATAAATAAGATTTTAGCACTTCAATCCGGATTCCTGTTACCGAAACACGCGGGCCTGAGATCCTAAATTCACCATATCTTCAAATTCAAACAATCAAACAGTCATAAAATCGTAAAGAATATAAAAATTGTAAGTAAGTAACGGTTTTTCACCTTGTCTGCTTCTTGACACGTGACTTTACAGGTCATGTGAGGTTATCAGAGACTGGAAGACCGGGGACTCCCTCTGTTACGCCTTCATCGAGTTCGCTGACGTTACGGACTGCGAGGCTGCCTACTTCAAAATGGACAATGTTTTGATCGACGAGCGCAGAATACATGTGGACTTCTCTCAGAGCGTTTCTAAACTTTATTTCAACAGGAATTCTAAAAACCAAATGAAATACTCTGCTCAGAATAACGATGATAAATCACGTGATAAAAGACGGCCTCAGAATGACAATTTAAGGTCAAAACAGAACGATGAACTAATGAGGCCAAAACGGAATAACGACCATATTAAGTCTAACCAGAATGTTGATCCTATGAAGTCTAGGGGGGAAGATAAAAACAATAAATCAACGCGGAACGATGACCATGTAAGGTCAAGGCGAGACGATGGCCAAATAAGGTCAAGGCGGGAAGATGGCAAAGACAATTTAAAGTCAAGGCGGGACAATGATCATTTGAGGTCAAGGCGGGAAGATGACCGTGTAACGTCAAGGCGGGATGACGACCATAAATCTAGGCGGCACAACGACCTTATCAAGTCTAGGCGGGATGATGATTATATAAATTCTAGTCGGGAAGAAGACCATAAACGGTCAAGGCCGCAAGATATCCATTTAAAGTCAAGGCGGGAAGATGACCCTGTAATGTCAAGGCGGCGGCACGATGACCATATCAAGTCTAGGCGGGATGATGAATTTATTAATTCTAGTCGGGAAGAAGACCATAAACGGTCAAGGCGGGAAGATGACCATGTGCGGTCAAGGCGGGAAGATGGCCAGATAAAGTCAAAGCGGGAAGACGACCGCATAAATTCGAGGCGGGAAGACGACGATATTAAGTCAAGACGGAAAGATGACCATATAACGTCAAGGAGGGTGGATGGCGAAAGTAAGTCTGAAAGAAGTAACAGTCGTTCAGATCCTGTTAAAGATATGAAAGTATCTCGGTTAGATAAGAAAGATGATAAAATAAATAAATCCGATCCAAAGAAGCCAGCCAAGAAACTTCGTACAAAATCTCCCTCGACTACAGAAGAGTCTTCATCAGATTCAGAGGATTCTTCGTCAGATTCAGATGAGGTATCTAAAGTTAAACCACAGAAAGACTCCAAGCAACGAGCCGTTAGTGATACTGATAAGGAAGGTAATAAGAAAAAGCGCCTAAAAGCGGACAAGACTGAATCTTCACTGAAAGAAAACCAAAGAAAATCACGAGATAAAGAAGAAGAGAGAGCAAAAGCAAAGGAACTTCAGACTAAAATTGCCGACCTAGAGCTTAAGATCAAGAAGATGAAAGAAGAAGAACTAGAAGACGGCCCCAGTAAGTCTATGAAGAAACACAAAAAAGCAAAAAAAACGAAGGGTACACGATGAGCAATGTTGAAACTATGAACTGCAAACGCTCTCAATGATTCAGGCTTTGGCTCCTGAAACCCTTTCGGCACCGTTCACTGCCCTCCAATAGACACGACCTGGCTCGTTCGACATCTTGCTTATATTTGGTTTTATTGATGATGTAAATCCCTCTTTATTGATGATGTTAATTCCTCGCAGCTAGAAATCTGTTATGTGCCTTAATTTCCTTACTAATTATACACATAATATTCATATTGTAAGTTTACCCCAGGAATAATTACATTATATTAATAACTTTTTTGTTTTGTTTTGTCGCATAACATGAAATAGAAATGAGGTAGCTGTAAGTTGCACAAGAGTAAAATTTTAGAGAAAGCGCTGACAGTTAAAATGAAACATCACCGAAACGGGAGAAAGTAGTATATAGGGGCCTATATAATTATAAGGTTTACTGTATCGAGATTTTTTCATTTCTGACTGAATTTTGTCAGCGTGCGAAAGAATGTTCCGGTGTTCTATTTGCTGTTCCGCACCGTCCATTTAGTGATGTCATCATTACAAACAAGATACAAGGGCAGGTCTCTCCCGAACGTTGGGATGGCCTGAGGTGCTTATCTCCTTTTCAGTAACCCTTAGCCACTCTGTGCCGAGGCACTAATACTGTACTAGCTGTAGGGGGGTTAGTCCTACGAGCCAGAGATCAGAGTGTGTTTCACCAGCCGAAGCTGTACCAAATCACAGCTTGGTAACTGGCCGACTTGCATCCGACCGGATTTGAACCCGGGTCTTCTGCTTGGGAGGTGATCGTGTTACCACTACACCACAGTAGTGGTAACACAGTAATGATGTCATCATTACTGCACCTTTTTCCACGGTATAATGACGTCATTCTCGTCTGGGTTGTATAAGGCAACGGTGCAAGCCCCACTGCAGCTGTTTATCTTCGCATCAACACAATCTGAATCTTTAGAACAAGGTTCTGGAGCTTCCGACAACCAACACCACTCTATCAGTGTGTACAGGTTGTAAAAATTGTTACAAGTACCAGCTGGGCCGTCCCAACTCATTACACCAGCCCCGTTGCATTGACTCCAGCATTTATTGTCAGTACAGCCGGGGGGGTAATGACTACTTTTGGGAACTTGGGGAATTACGTCAACGATTTTACCCCGAGTCCCCATGATTTTTAGTCCCCAAAAGTCTCCATTAGTCCCCATTTAGACGATTTTTAGTCCCCAAAAGTCTCCATTAGTCCCCATTTAGATTTATCCTACTCTTATCTTGGACAAAACATCTCGATCGTATCGTTATTAAATTTAAACTAACTTGAAAACCATAAATAACTGTCAAAAATTCTGGGGACTTATGAACACAGAATGTCATAGTTGCAGGAGTAGATGTCTTCGTAGTCCAGGTTGCATTTTTCGTACTCAACAACGTATCCACCATTGCCCCACTCTCCAGCAGACAAATGTACTGCAGCGATCAGAAGAGTGGTTGTGATAACCGTATACCACTTTGTTATCTTTAGATAACTAAGATATTCTTAAGATTGAGAGATTGAACTGGAAATGAATAATGATTCTTTCCCTGCCTTGCTTTTAGTTTTATAATTATAAAATCTGAACAGGTGGTCAGGGTGTTAAAAGCTGTTTAAACTTTGTAGACTTGTTACTAATACTTTGTTCGAATTAAACGCATAATTCAAATGAGCTGTTGATAGTGAATCTTTAAAAGTTGCACGGAAACGACTAATTTAAAGTTGTGTTGTGAACCGTAGAAATATTACCTGAGGACCCCAGGCTTTAATGTTGGTAAACAACCAAATAGAGATTAGGCGGAATGACAGGCTGAGCGCGGCCCAGTAATAGAAATATTACCATCTTCTTGTTTCTGCATCTGCGTCCAGACTATTGTATTTGGTTAGACTAGACGTAGAGCAAAACGTTTCAGTAGAAAAAGTAAAACGTTACCTGGGGATTGATTGTCAATTGTCATACGTTGCATGATCCGCCGCGCACGAGTGCGCGGCCCCCTGTATCGTAGAAACGCTATTACTATACCACTTATTACCTGAGGACCCCAGGCTTTAATGTTGGTAAACAACATAATAGAGATTAGGCGGAATGACAGGCTGAGCGCGGCCCAGTAAAGTAATACCACTTAGTGCTTAGTGAAACGACAACGCGACGGGGATGTCACGACGGAATTAAACTGGAATTAAACTGGAATTAAACTTAAATAGTCAGGGGGAACACTAACGAACCCGTCGTGACAATACATCAATGAAATAAATAAGATAATTTTAAAGAAAATCATAAATAAGACCCAAAACACGTTTAAAAAATTAACTTCACTAAAATCTGATCGAACGAAAAAGAAATAAAATCAAATATAATAATTTAACCTGGTTAAAGTGGATAATGCACCGACAAGGTAATAAATTATGCAGGAATGGTTCATAAAATTCACAAAATTACTCCAAAAGTCAAAAATACACTATCAGGAAAGATTACACACAAACTCAAAGACGGGCGTAAATTATGCAACTGTAACTCCAAATGAAAACAGTTCGAACACTCGTTTAAGGGCCACTGGGGTAGTTAAAATGTCCTTAAGACAGTGACTCGGAATCGTTACCGGATGTGTTAGATCGAGTGGAAGACGATGTTGGTGTCTTTTTCGGATTTCTGATGCGATGACAGCTGCTGAGAAACTTGCCCAGTTCTTCTATGTGGGCTGAATTCATCATGTCTTTGTAGTTCCTGAGAAGTAAAAGCCCTTTAAGGTCATCTGAGAGAGAAGATCGTACTGAGTGGTACATGGGGCACTCAGTAAGGCAGTGTTCCTCGTCTTCAATAATCGTGCCTTCAAAGAAGGGAAGGTATTCGAAGCCGAGAACGTGATCCCTATCGCAGCAGAATCTGCATGCTCTTGGCCAGACTCCGGCCTCCTTCGTGTAACGCCCTCTTTCTATCATCAGGTCGTGGCTGCTGGAGCGGATTTTAGCTGTATTCGTTCGGAATTGCCTGCTCTTCAGATTGAGGTACTGCTCTTCTCCAAATTCCTCCTTGATTTTGTTGTAGAACAGCATCTTGGTTTGCGATCCCAGGTCCACCCTCCAGTCATTGATAAAGACATCCCTCATGGTGCCATGAGCTGCTTCTGTTTCATAATGAGCCACAGAGCTAAGTTTCTCGTGCCAGGAGAGGTTAAGATTTTTCTGTTCCTGAAACGCTTGAGATACTAAAAAATTGACACTGTTCGTCTCAGAAGAAGCTCCGGAAAGTCTTTAGTACAGTCAAATCCGTCTTTTTGTCGGACAAAATTCGCAACAAAGCGATTTTAACGGGATATGGTCGGGACAGGTCCCAGGAATCATTCCAGAGAATTCCCAAAATCCTCGACTTCAGGAAAATCCACAATTACCACTTTTTTACCACCTTTTTACCACTTTGGTTTTCTGTAAATAAGTCACGTTCTGAATATCCTTGAAGACTCTAGTTTAAAGCATTGTGTTTAGAAAACAAAGAAGAACAACTTTTTCTTTAACAACTTTTTCAAAAATAAATTATTCAATTAATTAATTAAATAATTAATAAATTTTCAAATATTTCAAAAATATATTTTCATAAAAAATGTTCACAATTACATTCCACGTATAATGAACTAATTTTTATAAAAATTTTCACTTTCAATATTTTGGACTTGTAAAATTTTCGAAATTTGTAAAGAAAAACCACTATTTACCACTTTTTACCACATCGAATCTCCGCTAATAAAACGACTTCTGAATTTCGTAGAAGGTTCTAGATTGAACCAATGTGTTCAAAGTATAAAAGAGAACAACTTTTTATCTGACAACCTTTGGATTAGATAATTAATTAATTAGCTAATTCGATTATTAAACAAATATTCAAAAATTATAAAAATTATTTTTGATCAAAATATTTTAAAATTACATATCACGAATAATTAACAAATTTTCATTAAATTAATCGGGAAACCGAAGTAGTACTTTATATAACCATATATACTAGATAAGAGTCTAACTTATGAGTCCTCAGCTAGCACATTGGTGCAATTGTCCTGACATTTGAGGTTGATCCACAATGTATTCCTGCTTTTCTGCATGAACAAGCATTGCCACAACCTGATTTTAAACAGTTGCAAATGATTTTTTAAATGAGCTTTTTCGGAGCTGTACTCATAAGAGTGGTCACTGGTACATGTGTCCCATTGTTCATCTTCCATCCCCAACTTATCGGATCTAGGTCATTCTCATCCCACGCCTGCAGCTGATGGTAAACACGATAAGAATGTTGTTCAGCTGCCCCAGATGTTGGCGGGAGCTGTTCGCACTTGATGTCTGCTGTTAAAGATTGCGACTTCTGTTCAAGAACTGAAAGTCTAGCTTCATCTAGTGATCTCGATTTTGATGAAATCAGCTGCAGCATCAAAAGTTCTCGACATACTTTATGGTAGCTGGTGTAGAATTTGCCGAATAAAAGGCATCTATTACACTTTCATCGATGGATGCGATCGTTCTGAAGAGCCGATCCTTACCAATCCAGTGAAAGCGTGGCATGCAGCAGTATCGTGTTTACGTACCTCCTACCAGTCGCACTTCGAATGTTCTCAATGTCATAGATGTAGCTTTTGGTGGTGAGAAACAGTTGTTGGTCAAATGCAAAGTGTTTTGTCATGTGCAGTAAAATGACAAGCAAATCAGTATCATCACCAATTACAGAAACAACAACTTGATTAGACCACTCAACTGCCTCTCTGCAAATCAAAACGATGTGCGAAACGGATTGAAAATTACGAAGTTATCAAGCAATTTGTTTATCTCGTTAGCGAAATTGATTGGGTTATCAATGATTACCTAATCGCTTATCACGTGACAGGGTGCTAGGATACTGAAATCGGGCTTTCTGCACGATTTCTGTGCCACGCTTTCACTGGATCAGACACCACCAGTCGAATCCACGGAGTTGGTAAGGATCGGCTATTCAGAACGATTCCAATAGTGGGAATCAGTGCACTAAGCTACGGAGAAAGTCATATGAAATTTTTGGGCGAGCGAATTAGTAACTTAATAAGAGCCTAACGTATGTGTACTATAACACCTCCCCCCTCCCCCGTACAATAACTTACCCTGTCTGTAATCCAGTTTGAGGATTTATCATTTGGTGCGATCTCTACGTTACAGAGTGGACATTTGTTTAAACTGTGTTCGTGGACTAAAGCAAAGATGGTCCTGACTCTGTTACAACGGACTCCTCTTCATTGGC